TGGCCACATTAGTACTCAGCTGAAATAATTCCTCACCATCTCATGTATTTATCCCTCTGATATATTTAAAGATAGCAATCATATCCCCCCTAAGCCTACGTTTTGCCAGACTAAACAACCCGAGCTCCTCTAAGCTCTTTTCATACGACAGGTTTTCCATTCCTCTGATCATCCTAGTGGCCCTTCTCTGCACCCGTTCCAGCTTGAGTTCATCTTTTTTAAACATGGGAGACAAGAACTACACACAGTAATCCAAATGAGGTCTCACCAGCGCCTTGTACAACGGAAGCATGACCTCCTTATCCCTACTAGATATCCCTCGCCTAATGCATCCCAAGTTGACTTTTTTCACCGCCACGTCACATTGTCGACTCATAGTCATCCTGCGGTCTACAAGGACCCCTAGGTCCTTCTCCTCTTCCGTTACTTCTAACCAATGCGTCCCCATCTTGTAACTAAAATTGTTATTAGTCATCCCCAAATGCATCACCTTACACTTTTCACTATTAAATTTCATCCTATTTCTGATACTCCAATTCACAAGCTCATTCAAGTCTCCCTGCAGGATATCCCTATCCTCTTCCGAATTTACAACACCTCCCACCTTCGTATCATCCGCAGTCGACAGTGTGCCCTTGTTGCCAAGAAGGCTAACGGCATTTTGGGCTGTATAAGTAGGGGCACTGCCAGCAGACCGAGGGACTTGATCATTCCCCTCTATTCGACATTGGTGAGGCCTCATCTGGAGTACTGTGTCCAGTTTTGGGCCCCACACGACAAGAAGGATGTGGAGAAATGGAAAGAGTCCAGCGGAGGGCAACAAAAATGATTAGGGGTCTGGAGCACATGACTTATGAGGAGAGGCTGAGGGAACTGGGATTGTTTAGTCTGCAGAAGAGAAGAATGAGGGGGGATTTGATAGCTGCTGTCAACTACCTGAAAGGGGGGTTCCAAAGAGGATGGAGCTCGGCTGTTCTCAGTGGTGGCAGATGACAGAACAAGGAGAAATGGTCTCAAGTTGCAGTGTGGGAGGTTTAGGTTGGATATTAGGAAACACTATTTCACTAGGAGGGTGGTGAAGCACTGGAATGGGTTACCTAGGGAGGTGGTAGAATCTCCTTCCTTAGAGGTTTTTAAGGCCCGGCTTGACAAAGCCCTGGCTGGGATGATTTAGTTGGGGATTGGTCCTGCTGTGAGCAGGGGGTTGGACTAGATACCTCCTGAGGTCCCTTCCAACCCTGATATTCTATGATTCTGTGACAGAGTGCAAAAAAATAGTTGTACCTGGGGAGACGTCATCCACTGGGGATGTTTCTAGTGGGGTCCCACCGGGACCTGTTCTCAGCCCAGGGCTGTTCAATGTCTTTATCCGTCACCTGGAAGAAAATATAAAATCTTTGCTGGTGACATTTGCAGATGGCACAGCAGTGGTGGAGTGGTAAATAATGCCGGGGACCGGTCAGTGGTAGCGACTGGGCGGATGGCTCGGTGAGATGGGCTCTGTAGAACAATCGCTGTTTTACTACAGCGGAACAAAGACTGTAGCTCAGGTTGGGGGCTGTACCTGGGATGCCGATCACACCCTGGGAGCAGACAGCTCTTCGATCCAGCAGACAAAGGCAGAATGAGATCTGAGGGCTGCAAGCAGAAGCGAGAGAAATGCAGACTAGAACTAAGGGGCAGTGGTTAGTGGTGATGCGAATTAACCATGGAAGAGCCCGCCCAGAGCCATGGTGGCTTCTCCATCACCTGGCGTCTGTGAACCCAGCCTGGATCTTCCAAAATCTCTGCGCTAGCTCAGCCAGGGGTTGTGGGCTCAGGACGGGGATGGTGGGTCTCTCCCGTGCAATGGAGGAGGTCAGACCAGATGGTCTTGTGCTCCCTCCTGACGTTCGACCCCTCTGCAGGCGAGGAAGCCCAGCTGGCCCAGGAGAAGATGGAGTCCCTGAGGATGAGGTATCTGATCATGGGGCAGAGCAGTGGCGACATCCAGCACCGGCTGGCGCAGACCCTGGAAGCCTCATCCCATGTGGACTCTGCCCAGGAGGACCTGGCTCTCTGGTTGGGTCGAATGGAGAAGGAGCTGGGCTCTGGGGACAGCCAGCCAGGTGATGGGCCGCACCCGGTCAGTGCCAGCGACAGAGAAAAGGTACTGAGGGCAAGGGCGAGGGGAAGGGCCCAGGATCAGTCCCGGGGCTGAGACTCAACCCCCATTCCCGATCTCGCCTCCTCCCCTCTGGTGGGCACACACGGCCCAGTGTCGTAACTTTCCAGTCGTGCAAATCGTCCCGCCAGGTTCCAAATTGTACCCAGGAGACCAGCTGGGAAGGAAAGACAGGGTGGGTACAGCCCAGGCAAGGGACCCCCTACGCCTCGGCCTGACCCCGAGGGGCCCTGTGGCCATTACTAGGTGGAGATGGTGAAGTGATTAATGAGGCACATGTCACGGAGGGTGGGGGAGACCAGGCCCGGCACCCCCGGCTTCCTGCGATTCACCATGACTCTCAGCCAGCCAGTAAAGCAGAAGGTTTATTTAGACGACAGGAACACAGTCCAAGACAGGTCTTGCAGGCACAGACAACAGGACCCCACTCAGTTAGGTCCCTCTTGGGGCCCCAGGGACACCACAGCTCCGTTGGGGGGTCAGAGCCCCATCTGGGCTCCCCTCCATTACACCAGCCAGCTCCAAACCGAAACGCCCTCCAGCATCTCTCACTCAGCCTCCCCAGGCCTTTGTCCAGTTTCCCCGGGCAGAGGTGTCACCTGGCTCCAACCCCCTTCCTGGGTTCTCACGTTACATGCTCAGGTATCTTCCCTCAAGGCCAGTCTCCCATCCCCCAATGCAGACCGTCCCAGCCACACTCCCCTGTCAGCATTCACAGACCACAGTAAGAACAGTCCCAGTTGGTCACAGCCGGAAAGGCTGAAGTGTTCAGTAAATAGTGCTGCTCTGACTTTGACAAGCTGAGGGATGTTGTGCGCTTAGCACACCAGGACGACAAAGTAACTAATGAAGAACAGGAGTACTTGTGGCACCTTAGAGACTAACAAATTTATTAGAGCATAAGCTTTCGTGGACTACAGCCCACTTCTTCGGATGCATCCAGGCTGTAACGAAAGCTTATGCTCTAATAAATTTGTTAGTCTCTAAGGTGCCACAAGTCCTCCTGTTCTTCTTTTTGCAGATACAGACTAACACGGCTGCTACTCTGAAACCTGTCAAAGTAACTAAGAAGCATGTTAACAGCATCTACTAGGGAGAAACATTTTTAACTCAGCAGGCCCAGGTAACTCCAAGCCAAGAGCCCTAGAAGAGCTGGCGGAGGAGATCTCTGGCCCACTGATTTATACAAATTCCAGAAGACATCAGGATAATTAACCATTGGCACAACTTCCCAAAGGATTCCTCCTCACTGGCAATTTTAAAATCCAGATTGGCTGGGATGTTCCTAAAAGCTCTGCTCTAGTTCAGACAGGAATTGCTGTGGGCAGGTCTCTGCCCATGTCACACGGGCGGTCAGGCGAGATGATGACAGTGATCCCTTCTGGCCTTGAACTCTTTCAATCTACGGCTCATTCCCAGGCTAAATAATGAACCGTTGATACGGGATTCAGTTAATATAGAGTTAAAGGGAGGGAACCGAATTACTGCCAGTCACCGCGGCGTTATGGGGTGTGGGTCTTGTCAAACAAACCTGGGCTTGTTTGTGATGAGGTTACAGGTTTGGTCGCACAGATGTAATAGATTTCGGGAGGCCTTTGGCTTGGTACAGCCCGGCAGTCTCACTACAATTAGCGCTGTAGAAGCACAGGTGAAATGGATTAGGAACCAGGTAAGAGAGATCTAAGAAAGCAGCTGTCAGCAAGGACTCCTCCGAGACTCAGGCTCAGGGTGTACCTAGTGGGGTTCCCCAGGGACTCACCACTTCCATCAGAGGAGACAGACATTGGCAGAGCGGTAAGTAACGAGGACAGCGCACCACACAGGTGTGGCACTGGCAGCGGGAACGTGCGTCCCAGCGTGGGAGACAGACACCCGCTAGCGCGCTGCAATAGCAGGGGGCCGCCGCAGCGCTGGCAAGCTCCTGAGTGTGCACCAAGGGGGTTTGGACTCGGGTGCTAATGTGAGCCGCGGCTCGTGCCCCCACGGCCACACCCTCGCTTGAGCAGAGCTAGCATGTGTCTGTCGACGTATGCTGGGAAGCACACACCCAGCTGCAGGGCAGACGCACCCCCAGAGTGATCGCCATCGCTTGGTGAACTGGCCCCATTTTTTAAAAATACATTTGAACACAGCCACGTGCAAGGATATAGGTCTGGGGCCCAGGAGTGCCCGTGTCCCTAGAGACGGGGCTGTGTCCTGGGCAGCAGCGATATGCAAGGCCGTAGGTCTGGGGCCCCAGGAGTGCCTGTGTCCCTAGAGACGGGGTTGTTAGGGGTCAGAGTGGCTAAGCAGCTCGTGGTTGCTCAGTGCGATGCTGGGGCAAGAACGGTTAGTGCGACCTGTGGCTGTATGACCAGGAGTAGCGAGCAGGAGCAGGGAGGTGATTTGAGACCAGCGCTGGAATACTGGGCCCAGTCCGGGGGGCCACATTTCAAAGGCTGAGGGAAAACTGGAGAGGTGCAGCTTAGCCAGGAAATGATTGGAGGGCTGGAGAAAACGCCTGGCAGCGAGAGACGTAAGGCGCGCAGGCTGTTAGCTTGTGAGAACGCAGACTGAGAGGTGACTCGGGCGCCGTGTCCAGGCACCGTGGTGGGGAGCACACAGCAGGTGCGGAGGGCTCTGTGACTGAGCACAGCACAACAGGGACCGATGGCTGGAAACTGGAGCCCGACGTGTTTAGCAGGGAGGGAAATTACCTCCCAAGGGACTGAGGGGGAGGAGGATTCTCCATCTCTTGGTGTCTCCAGCTTTCGGCTTGACAAGGTCCTGAGAGTGTTGCTTTAGCCAAGCTCAGGTGATTGGGCTGAGCACAGGGGAAAGGGGTGAAATGCTCCGAGCCCTGCTAGGCAGGGGTTCACCAGCTGAGCTACCCAATGGTTCCACTCCCCCCGCAGCACCTTGTTCAGGTTCCACGCCTCCCCCATAGCCCCTTGTGCAGGTTCCACTCCCCCCCGCCCCACAGCCCCTCGTGCACGCTCCACTCCCCCCATAGCACCTCGTGCACGCTCCACTCCCCCCCGCACCGCAGCCCCTCGTGCACGCTCCACTCCCCCCGCAGCCTCTCGAGCAGGTTCCACTCCTCCCCCGCAGCCCCTCGTGCACGCTCCACTACCCCCGCAACCCCTCGTGCACGCTCCACTCCTCCCCCATAGCCCCTCATGCAGGCTCCACTTCCCACCCCCCGCAGCCCCTCACTGCACGCTCCACGCCTCCCCCGCAGCCCCTCGTGCACACTCCACTCCTCCCCCGCAGCCCCTCGTGTATGCTTCACTCCCCCCCGTAGCACCTTGTGCATGCTCCACTTCTCCTCCGTAGCACCTCGTGCATGCTCAATTCCCCTCCCCCCCAACACACCTGGCGTCTGACCCGAGGGGCGTCTCTGTCTCAGTTTGAGCAGGTCCTGGGGTCCGAACACGCCCACCTGGCCAGGCTCGGCCAGCACCTGGAGAAGCTCAGGCCGGTCCAGCTGGACGCCCAGGCCATCTGCTCGCAGCTCTCGGCTCAGCAGGTAGGGACGCCGGCCCCGCGCCCAGCCCCGGCTCCCGTCTACACAGACGCCAATCCCTCAGAGGGAGGCAGCATGCGCCCAGGGTGTTCCCTATGCCCCAGCCAGCGCCGGGAATTCAGACTGCGTTTCCTCTCCCCGCTGGATTCCCCTGGACACATGCACTGAGGCAGGCACATGGCCACATGTACACGCATGGACCGAGCCACGTACACACGCCGACTGCAACACGCAGCACGCACCGATTCTCACGGCCTGAGCCACAAACACACGCAGCACGCACCGATTCGCACGGACTGAGCCACGTACACACGCCGACTGCAACACGCAGCGTGCACCAATTCACAAGGACCAAGCCACATACACACGCCGACTACAACACGCAGCATGCACTGATTTGCACGGACTGAGCCACATACACACGCTGACTGCAACACGAAGCACGCACCGATTCGCATGGACTGAGTCGCATAAACCTGCCGACTGCAACACGCAGCATGCACCAATTCCCACGGACTGAGTCACATACACACGCTGACTGCAACATGCAGCATGCACCAATTCCCACGGACTGAGTCACATACACACGCTGACCGAGACACGCAGGACGCACTGATTTGCACGGCTCGAGCCACATACACACGCCGACTGTAATACGCAGCACACACCAATTCGCACGGACTGAGTCACGGTAGCCTGTGCACACACACACTCAGAAGCGCTGACCGAGACACACACAGCACCCACCGATTCGCACAGACTGCGCCACTCTAGCCAATGCACACACGCAGACACGTTGACTGAGGGCAGGCGTCTTTCATGAGCAGTTCAGTACGTTCAGGTCAGCGAGGCGCTCAGCCCGACGAGCTCCGTGGGAACTGCCAGAGCGTGGCAGAGCCTAGCCCGCAGTGCCTTGTCGGAGGGGGTAGGACCTGCTTTCCCCGCGTGTGAGCTCAGATCCCCTTCTGGAACTCGGGACAGGGGCGGCTCCAGGCACCAGCGCAGCAAGCGTATGCCTGGGGGGGCAAGCCGCGGGGGGTGCCGTGCCGGTCATTGTGAGGGCGGCAGTCAGGGAGCCTTCGGCGGCATGCCTGCAGGAGGTCCGCCGGTCCCATGGCTTCGGTGGCAATTCAGTGGTGGGTACATCGAAGCCGCGGGACCAGCGGACCTCCCGCAGGCACGCCGCCGAATCCGCGTTACCAGCTGGCCGAAAGCCGCCTGACTGCCGTGCTTGGGGCTGCAAAATACATAGAGCTGCCCCGGCTCGGCCCCGCTTCGCTGGCTCTGGGACTGCTGGGGGCATGGAGACAAAGGCCAGCCACGGCAGAGGCACCGTGCCCAGCGCAGGGCAGTGAGTGGCGGCCAGAGAGAGCTGGGTTTCGCCTGCCTGTCTGCCAAGGGAACCCCCTTGGAGGGGTGGGGAAGTGAGTGTGGCCTAGCGGCTGAGTTGGCAGGTGTATTGCTGGGGCTCCTGCCCGGGGCAGAGGCAGCTGGATCCTCGCCTGCCTGTGTTCCCCACGGGGGAGGGCAGCAGCAGGGTTTGTGCTAACGCCTCTCTCCCTCTCAGCTCCTCTCCGCCGAGGTTCTGCACCACCGCGGCCTGGTGGAGCGCCTGCTGGGGATCTCCGACCCACTGCTCCGTGCCTGGCCCTCACACCAGCACCCGCAGGTGAGACCCGGCACGGCCTCTGGCCAGGGGCCCGTGGGTGATGGGCAGCAAGGGGTGTCCCCTCGGGTACCTGACCCCCTGCCTTCCCCAACCAGCCACCGGGTGACACTGCTGCTCCATGGGGAAAAGCCCCGCAGCCCGTGGGCTGGGCTGGGCAGAGCCAGTGCGCTTGGGGAGAAGGCCCATGGCCCATGCTCTGGCCAGCGCCGTGCGCGCCCCTGTGAGCTGTTTCTCTGCCCCAGCCGTCAGCGCAGTCCCTCCGGGAGCAAGCCGAGCGGCTCTTCCTGGAGAGCGCAGCCTGCGCGGTGCAGCTGGAGCGGGCCCAGGGCCTGCTAGCCCAGTTCGCTGAGGCCCATGACGAGCTCACACCCTGGCTGGAGGAGACGCAGCTGGTGGCCGCGCGGCTCTCCCCGGACGCCATCAGCTGGGAAGCCTTCAAGGAGCAGCAGGACCTGCTGCAGGTGAGCGGGGCTGGAAGGCGAGCGAGGCTGCGGGGACGGAGCCCAAGAACTGGGAGGGGCCCTATGGAATGGGAGTAGGGTGGCCTTGGCCAGGTGTCTGGTTTTTGGCCAGAACGCCCGGGCGAAAAGGGGCCCTGGTGGCTCCAGTCAGCCCTGCTGACCGGGCTGTTAACAGTCCAGTTGGTGGTACAGCGGGGCTAAGGCAGGCTCTCTGCCCGGCTCCGTGCAGCTCCCAGAAGTGGTGACATGTCCCTCAGCTCTGAGGCGAGGCAAGGGGGGCTCCACGCACTGCCCCTGCCCCGAGCACCAGCTCTGCAGCTTCCATTGGCCGGCAACCGCAGCCAATGGGAGTTGCAGGGGCGGTGCCTGTGGGCAGAGGCAGCCCACACCGCGCAGAGCTTTCTGGCCACACCTCCGCTTCGGAGCAGACGTGTTGCCGCTTCTGGGGAGCTGCCCGAGGTAAGCGCCGCCCGGAGCCTGCACCCCTCACCCCCTCCCGCACCCATCCCCTCCCACGCCCCAACCCCCTGCCCCGCCCAGAGTCCCCTCCCGCACCCAACTCCCTCCCTGAGCCTGAACCCCTCACCTCCTCCCGCGCCCCAAACCCCTGCCCCCGCCCAGAGTCCCCTCCCGCACCCTGAACTCCTCATTTCCGGCCCCACCCGGAGCCCTCACCCCCAGCCGGAGCCCTCACCCCCTCCTGCACCCCAGCCCCCTGAGCCAGCCCGGTGAAAATGAGCAAGTGAGTGAGGGTGGGGGAAAGTGAGCGACAGAGGGAGTGAGCAGGGGGCGAAGCCTCAGGGAAGGGGGCGGGGCACGGGAGTTTGGTTTTGTGCGATCAGAAAGTTGTCAACCCTAACTGGATGAGGGGCAGGGCCCCGATCCTGCCAGGGGCCAAGCACCCAGTGGCTCCAGCAGCGTGCAGGGTCTGTCACCTGAGAGCTAAGGGGCAGAGGCGTTCACCTCTCCCCACGGGCCCCCTCCACGCCGCACTGCCCTGCGCTGCGGGCCCAGGCGATGCCATCCACTGTGGGGCCTGGCCCCGCTCTCTAGGCTGCCAGTGACCGGGGCTCAGGTCAGGCTGGGGCCAGGGGAGGCGATGGGCAGAGACGCGGGCACTGATGGACAGGAGCATCGCCGGGACATGAGGGAGTGGGGTGGGCAGAGGGAGGCCAAACTAATAACGTCCAGGGAGGTACGGGGGGCAGCTGGAGAGAGCAGCGCTCCCCTCGCTCCCACGTGTGTCTGTGGGTTTCCCTGCCACCCTCACACTGGGTGTTTACCCCCCACACTCGCGTCCCCGCAGTGTCTCCGGGAGGCCCTTGCTGAGCACCGGCCCCTGATGGGGAAGCTGCAGCGCGTCTCCGCCCAGCTGGCAGAGCTGAGCCCGGAGCAGGGGGCCCCGTTCCAGCAGCGGTGCCAGGCGGCGGAGGAGCAGTACGACAGCATTCGGGAGCACGTGCGCCAGGCAGCCACGGTGCTGGAAGATGCCATCCCGCGCTACAGCCAGGTACACAGAGCAGCTCCGTGACAGCCCGGCCCAGCACGGCCCGGAGTCCCCTCCCCGGACCAGGCCCATGGGCCCGCCGAGCCCAGGGTGTGGCCCCCATGTCACTGGGCTGGCCAGTGGGCACCTCACCCAGTGTCTCCAGGGGCCCAGCCAGCCCGGTGTCCCCACACCACACACTCTGGGTGGCGAGCGATGGGCTGGCCGGAGCTGTTGCTTGGTGCCTGGGAGGGGCCCTGGCCTGCCAGGGGAAGGGGAGCTGGCCCTAGGAGTGCCTGAAGGACCGATGGGTCCCTGGGTGCTGCCCAGGCCGGGTGGGACCCTGCTCGGGGGAGCTGGTCTGGGCTGTGCTCCAGCCACACCCCAGCTCTCAGCCTGCCCCATCCCCATCCCCACCAGGCAGCTGGAGCTTTGGGGGCCCATCCCTTGGGCCCCCGAGAAACCCCCGGTCGGCCCCGCGTTGTCTCCCACAGCTCACGGAGCGCATGGACTTTCTGCTGGAGAGCCTGGAGCGGCTCCAGGGCCGGGTGCAGAACCCCCCCGCGGTCCGGGGCGACGCGGCCCACCTCCGGGAGCAGATCTGCGAGAACAGCCTGGCGCTGGGCGAGCTGGAGAAGCTGGGGGTGGCACTGGAGACCGTGCGCAGCCAGGGGGCCGAGCTGCTGGCCAGCATGCAGATGGCTCACGCTGACGCTGCGGCGAAAGGTACTGGTGTCTGCAGCCCCGCGAGGCTCTGCCCGGGGTCGCCCCATGGCACAGGCACTCAGCGCCAGCAGCTCCAGATCCCAAGAGACCCCCAGGGGCCGAGCCTGCTGCCTGTGTGGGGGAGACGACCAGGGCCAGGCTGCTCCCACCCCACACACCAGCCCCTTTGCACAGTGAAAGCTGCATGAGCCTGGAAGTGGGGAGAGAGCATGGCACTGCAGGGCCCCGGGGTGGGAGATTACGGGGGAGGGCTTTGAGGGGGGACAGGTGACACTACTGGGCCCTGGGGATGGAGGAATTAATGGGGGGCACCCCTGGGATGGGGGGCGGTGGTGCTGCAGGGTCCCTGGGGACAGGAGGTCAGTGCCCCTGGGGTTGGGGGGTTGCAGGTGGCACTGTTGGACCCTGGGGAGGGGGGAATTGTTGGGGGTTCCCCTGGGGCTGGGGGCTGGCACTGGGGGAGGCGGTGCTGCAGGGCCCTGGGGACGGGAGGTCAGTGCCCCTGGGGCTGGGGGCTGGCACTGGGGGCGGCGGTGCTGTGGGACCCTGGGGACGGGAGGTCAGTGCCCCTCGGGCTGGGGGCTGGCACTGGGGGCGGCGGTGCTGCAGGACCCTGGGGACGGGAGGTCAGTGCCCCTGAGGCTCGGGCCTGGCACTGGGGGGCGATGGTGCTGCGGGTCTCTGGGGACGGGAGGTCAGTGCCCCTGGGGCTGGGGCCTGGCACTGGGGGCGGCGGTGCTGCGGGACGCTGGGGACGGGAGGTCCGTGCTTCTCTCCAGCCCCTCACGCCCGTCTCCGGTCCCGCAGTGATCCAGGAGCGCACGGAGCAGCTGTGTAGCCAGTGGCGCTGCCTTCGCGGGCAGGCCGAGGAGCGGGAGCGGTGGCTCAGGGGGCTGCTGGCGCTGGCCGAGCGGTTCTGGCAGGGGCTCGCTGAGTTGGCCATCACCCTCACAGACACCCAGCAGATGGTGCTGGACTTGGAGGAAGCCGGCTCCGACCCCGAAGCCGTCCGGGCACAGCTCCGCACCATGCAGGTACCAGCGAGCGATGGGGGAGGAGGGCAGGGGGCCGGGGGTGCAGTGCCCGGCCTGCCGTGGCCCCCGTGGTTGGCAGCTCTCGCAGCACCCGGGGGCAGCAGACAGGAGCTGAGAGCACCAGGCTCAGTCCCTGGGGCAGGGCCCCGCTGTGGGCCCCTAGCCATGTGCCTGAGGCCGGGCACCCAGCCCTGTCCCTGCCACGCAGGCGCTGCGAGAGGAGATCGACGCGCTGCAGAACGACCTGGACACGCTGGGTATCCTGGGCGTGGAGCTGATGTCGTCCTGCGGCGACCCGGACAAACCGGACGTCACCAAGAGCCTGGACGATGTGAGGGGGTGTGACGGGGCCCCGGGCCCGCGAAGGGTGGGAAGTGGGGCACTCCACCTGTCCCCTAAGAGGGCTCCTTGGAGCATGTGTGTGGGGCCGTTGTGGGGTCAAATGGGCGGAGCTCCCCAGGGGCCGGATGGGGATCTGCGGGCAGAGTAGGTGGGGTTCCATGGGGCAGTTGGGGGGGTCCCCCGTGGGGCAGTCTGGAGGGCTCCATGGGGCAGTCAGTGGGGGCTCCGCGGGGCTGTCGGGTGGCTCCGTGAGGCAGTCAGCAGGTCCCTGAGGCTGAGGTTCCCATGGGGCAGTCGGGGGGGCCCCGTGGGGCAGTCGGGGGGCTCCATGGGGCAGTCAGGGGGGGCTCCGTGGGGCTGAGGTTCCCATGGGGCAGTCGGGGGGACCCCAGTGGGGCAGTCGAGGGGGCCCCATGGGGCAGTCAGGGGGGGCTCCGTGGGGCTGACGTTCCCATGGGGCAGTCGGGGGGGCCCCGTGGGGCAGTCGGGGGGCTCCATGGGGCAGTGCCAGGCTGATCTCGGTGCCCCTCCCTCCTGCGCAGCTCTACTCGTCCTGGCACAGCCTGAGCAAGGTGTGGACGGAGCGGCAGGGCCGCCTGCAGGAGCAGCTCCAGGCCTCGCTACGCTACCAGGAGGCCATGCAGGTGCGTGGACAGACCCCCACGTGCGCCTCCTGCCCCCCAACGTGCACAGCCCCGGCCCCACCCTGCCCCACGGGGTGCTGGCCGGGGGCAGGTCGGGCCTGTGGCAGGGAAGGGAAGGGGCAGCTTACGGGGTCTGCAGGGACCAGCCAGAAAAGGCCTCGCTCCTCTGCCTGCTCACAGGACAATCCCCAGCCCACTCCGGCCTCTGCCTGCCTGCGGGCACCAGCCTCCGGCCCAGAGGGGCTGCAACCGGGTCCTGGCCTGTGCAGCTGGGGGCTCGTGGGCTGGTGCCAGTAGCAGGACTATGGCAATTGTGAATGCGAATGCGGGAGAGACCCCCTCGGGCACCAGCCCCCCTCGGGAGGGACGACCTGTCACGGACTCACAGGTCGTGCCCACTCTTGGCCCCGTGCGGTCCATGGGGGGAACCCCCTGCAGTGTGACAGCCCTTCTCGGGGGTCCACTCTCTCCCGGGGTTGACCCCTCCACCTCCTGGAGCCGCACCTTTCTGAGCCTTAGCACGTCTGTCTCTGCCGTGGGCCCCCTCAGGGAGTCCCCTTGGTCTGGACCCCCAGGGCCTCCACCCCCCGAAGGGGTTGATGCAACCCTGTTCTCTAGACCGGAGTGACACTTAGCCAGCGTAAAACAGGAGGGTTTATTGAGAGTTGAACACAGCCCAGGAAACTCTCAGGGCCTCAGGCCTGGCCTCCCTCAGCCCTCAGCCCAGCACACCCCAGTCTCTCTGCATCCAGGTGGGCTCTGCCTGCTCCCCCTCTCCAGCCCAGAGCCCCCCTGCTTCCCAGCTGGGCATCTGAGATCACCGGCCCCAGGCCCCACCTCTGTCCATTGTCTTCTCTCCAGGTAAACAGGGTTGTAAACTGGGGCCTCCTCTCCTCACTTGTGTCCTCTGGCTGGAACCTCTGCCCTAGCCCAGAGCCCTCTCTCGCACCCAAACCCCTCATCTCCAGCCCCACACCAGAGCCCGCACTCCCAGACCTCAACCCCCTTCTCCATCCCAGTGAAAGTGAGTGAGGGTGGGGAGAATGAGCAATGAAGGGAGGGGGGTTGGAGCAAGCAGGGGTGGGGCCTCAGAGAAGGGGTGGGGCCTCGGGGAAGGGGCAGAGCAGGGATGTTCGGTTTTGTGCGATTAGAAAGTTGGCAACCCTAGCTCACTGGGGAGCCGTGAGCCGTCTGGCTGGGCCGGGGACTGCCTGTCACGGAGTCCCCGGGCGATGCTCTGGAACTGCTTCCCACAAAGCCAGTCAGGACTTTGGGGAGCCTCCTCTCCCTCGGAGCAGACTGTCTTCAGGGCAAGAAGCTCACATGGCTTCACCTCCTGGGTCTCTCCTGGGAGCATTCAGCATATGCCCCTCCGTGCGCTTCCCACAGCGAGTCCGTCCAGGCGGGGTCCTGGGGCAGCCAGAGGGTCCTGCACCCCCACTTCGCAGTCAGACGTGACTCTCAGCCAGCCAGTAACACAGAGGTTTATTAGATGACAGGAACACGGTCTAAATCAGAGCTTGTAGGTCCAGAGAACAGGACCCCTCAGCCAGGTCCATTCTGGGGCCCAGCGAGGCAGACCCCCGTCTGCCCTCCCTTCCAGTCCCCAGCCAGCTCCAAACTGAAAACCCCTCCAGCCCCTCCTTTCTGGCCTTTGTCTCTTTCCCGAGCCAGGAGGTCACCTGATCTCTTTGTTCACCTTTAGCTATTCCCTTGCAGGGGGGAAGGGCCCTGGCCATTTGTTGCCAGGATACAGAGTGTCGGCCATTTATGCACACTGGAGACTTAAGAAATGCATAGGGGAAACTGAGGCACCCACACAGTATTCAGAGGAAACATTAAGTACAGTCTCACTTCGTCACACTGCCCCGCAGGAGAGCCGGGAGCCTGGCTGGCTGGGCCGGGGGCTGCCCCGCAGGAGAGCCGGGAGCCTGGCTGGCCGGGGCCGGCTTATCACCCCACCGGGACAGCCACAGGCTCCCCCTCCCGGGAGCTGCTGGAATGAGCAGAGCCTGCTGTCTCCAGAGCTGCCCTGTTGGCCGTGCAGGTGCTGTCAGTCCCTGCTCCGTGCCCAGGCCAAGGCCAGAGCAGCGGCTCTGACCCGGCTTGCCCCAGCCCGGCGTGCAGCGCTGCTGTTCCTGTTGGAGGAATTGCAGCTGGCACTGTTCACGTGCTCGGGCAGCCCAGGGACCAGCGAGTGTGTGCATGGCTGTGCCCCCCACATCACGGGAGGGGGGTTCCCCTCCCTAACCCCCTTTCCCTGCCTCCCTCCCCAGAGGCTCTGTGACTGGCTGGCCACGGCGGAGCTGCGCATGGCGGAGGAGTTCCTGGTTGGGGGGGACCTGGAACTGGTGAGGCAGCAGCTGGCGGAGCTGAAGGTGGGAAATGCTCTGGGCTTTGCCCTTCGCAGACACTGCTGGGGGTGGGGTGGGGCTGGATCTGCTGGCATGGCTGGCGCCCATCTGCACTGCCCCTCACCTGTCACAGGGGACCCAGCACTGTGCACCTGGGCGGGGCGGAGCCTGTGCCCTGCGAGGCCCTCCTCCTCCCCGGCACCCTAGAGACTGGCAGTGGGGGGTGGCGGCTCAGCCAGGTGGGGCAGGGTTGGGGAGCTGCACTGGGTGGTGTGCAGTGAGATTGCTTTCCCCAGGGGAGGGGCCCAGGGGCCAGGCTGCACCTGGTGCCCTGGACAGATGGAAATGTGGGCCCTGGGTCCCATGTAGATCTGGAGAGGTTGGTACCAGGTTGGTGCAGGGCTGGTACCCCTGCCCCTCTGATGGGGCAGCCACCTGGGCCTGGCCAGGCCCACTCACCCTCGGGGAGATGGGGAGGGGGAATGCCTGCACAGAGCAGAATCCCCAATAGAGTGCTGGGTGGGTGCCAAGCCAGGGTGCCATGGGGCTGCGGTACTGGGAGGTGCCTGGAGGTGCCCTCAAGCCTGCTGCTCGTGGTCCCGTCCCACCAGGAGTTCAAGAGGGAGCTGTACCAGTGCAAGGTGGATGTGGAGAGCCTGCGGCACCATGCAGGGGCTGAGGACAGAGGCCCCCCAGCTTTGCTGAGTGACTTCCGGCAGCGCTGGGATTGCCTGGAGGAGGAGATTGTCAGCCGCCAGGTAGGACTTTCAGGCTCCCCGAGTCCCGAGCGTCACTCGCCAGCCGCTGGGCCCACAGTGATGGGGGGACCGGGGTCCGTGGGTGCTGGTCACCCAGCTGCCAGGCCCAGGGAGGTGGGGACCGGGGTTCGTGGGTGCTGGTCACCCAGCTGCCAGGCCCAGGGAGGTGGAGACCGGGGTTCGTGGGTGCTGGTCACCCAGCCGCCAGGCCCAGGGAGGTGGGGACCGGGGTTCGTGGGTGCTGGTCACCCAGCTGCCAGGCCCAGAGAGGTGGGAGCCGAGGTCTGTGAGTGCTGGTCACCCAGCTGCCAGGCCCAGGGAGGTGGGGACCGGGGCCCGTGGGTGCTGGTCATGTGATTTCTCTTCTTCAGGGCTCTGCTGTGTCTGCCACAAACGGGTTCTATTTGTTCAGTCCTGGAGCTGGCCTCGCTGACTGCAGGGGTCTGCGGGGCAGGGGGCCCCGGCTCCAGGGAGGCTGGTCTGATGGGTCCATTGTTTTTTTCCTCCCGTTCCCAGCACCAGCTGGAAGCGGCGCTCCTGGGCTTGGGGCAGTTCCAGAACCAGCTGGAGGAGCTGGTGCAGTGGATTTCCCACACGGCAGAGCAGCTGCAGGGCCGGAGCCCGCTGAGCTTGGATCTGCAGAGCTGTGAGATCGAGCTGGCCAAGCACAAGGTGAGACGCAGCAGAGAACAGCTCGGTCTCCCTGAGCTCACAGCTCATTGCCAACGGTTCTGAGATTGCTTCAGCGAATTCCTTAAGAACCCCAGGGGGAATTTCAGCAGGTCCTGACGACTTGAATACACCCAACTTATGTAAATCTGCCTGTCACGGACTCACGCCCCGTGCTCTCTTGGCTCCGTACGGCCCCTGGGAGAACATAAGAGCGTCCAGACTGGGTCAGACCAAAGGTCCACCTAGCCCAGTGTCCTGTCTGCCGACAGCGGCCAATGCCAGGTACCCCAGAGGGAATGAACAGAACAGGGAATCATCAAGTGATCCATCCCCTGTCACCCATTCCCAGCTTCTGGCAAACAGAGGTTAGGGACACCATCCCTGCCCAGCCTGGATAATAGCCACTGATGGACCTTTTAGTTTGGAAAAGAGAAGACTGAGAGGGGACATGATAGCAGTTTTCAGGTATTTAAAAGGGTGTCATAAGGAGGAGGGAGAAAACTTGTTCACCTTAGCCTCTAAGGATAGAACAAGAAGCAATGGGTTTAAACTGCAGCAAGGGAGGTCTAGGTTGGACATTAGGAAAAAG